TCATTCCATGTGTGAGGTTTATCTAAAAAACTTAAAGACTCCCACCAAGTTGATGCAGATTGTCTCAAAACACTAGTTGCATTTTTAATTTTCCTCCGTTCGCACATATAACTTTGTGCAAAAATATTATCTATTTTAGTTTTCCACTCAATGTACTCATCAGCACCAATACCATCATAAGTAGGCGGGGAAGAAAGAATAGATTGACCTACGGGTGGAGGTGTAGCAGCAATAGTGCGTGGCTCATGCATCATTGATGTCTCATATCGGTACATGTTGTAACCTGTCATTGTTAGCATCAAACAAGAAAACACACAAGTATGTATTTTCCTATCAGCTACTATAGGATGTGGTCAAGGAGTAAAGTCACACACTCTCAAGCGTCTTACCACGGTCTTAAAGTGTTCTTACCAAAGCAACAGGCGGTGCAATCAATCGGTGACTATGATACCATTGTAGCTTGAGTGTAACGGTTGCAAAGCGAACCTATACTTGGTTAGAAGAAAGTGGAGCTTGGACAGGCCCAATATAGTAGCAAGGAATAGCAATATTCACGACTGAATAGCAAAACTGAATAAGTATCCCAAGTACTTGTCTTAGTTGCTGGCCTATTCACGTTCCAAGTACCAGATGTATCAAGTGATGTGAACAGCAAGCAATATGATTAGGAACAAGGTGGAAATCAGCACACGCAAACACAGCTCAAATGGCGCTCTCTATGTGCTCTCTAGATATTGTTCCACTTTTGCCCCTCTCTTTTTCTTTATTTTTGGGCTGTCGTTGTTTTTTTGGGATTCTTTGACTTTTTTATTTTTTTTGATATTTTTCTTCACTTAGGAGCACAAAAGAAGTAACCACAAAAAATATGAGCTTAAACAAGTGAAAGGCGTGTCCTATGGAAAATTCAGAAGACGTGCTCAAAATTGACAAAAACTTTGAGACCACGAAAAGAGGATCTTGTGACCAGTTTTTGGCCAAAATAAAAATTTTAAACCCGACAAAGAGGGGGACGAGCGGATCCAAAAAAATTCTGATCGATTTTGATATATGGAACGTCAAAATCTGAGTTTGTATGCGAAAACTAGATCAGTTTTGAGAACTGACTCCGAATTAGAAGATAAAACGGGAACAATATGCGCAAAAGTTATTGTGGCGGCTATGGATAGATGCAAAAAGTGAAGATAAGTGTAAAAAATATATGGCGTGGACTAGGGTTTGATGAATACAAAGGAAACACAGCAAGACTTGAAGGTGTTCACGGATTATGATGAAAAACAAAGGGAATGACACAAACTGGACTAAAAACGATCTAAAACCAGCAACCAGAACTTGCCCTAGGACACAAACTCAACAACACAAAACAGAGACGAAATTGTATGGCACAACGAGGCTATAGGATAAGGAATATGAGGCGGTGTATATTTTTTGGCTTTTTGTGGACTATAGGTAAAACAAAAACAGTAACAATCTAAAAGGGAAAATAAAAGTATACCTAACGGGCAACAAGGTCTCTGATACCACTTGATGTAGACAAGACCCGATCTTCTGAAAGGTATGATAGCGTCGATTGGTGGAGACTCGATGTTCACGATCTAGGCTTCGAACCAAGACTGATTCGGACCCCCACAACCGTTACACCAATGCTCCGTTGGTTATCAACCACGCGAACGCGATTGACCTCGTCGAGAAGGCTTTTCTACAAACGAATCGAGAACACAAGCAAGAACAGGATGAACGCAATCTAAAATTGCAAATAAATATGAGGCTTATGATAACAAGAAGAAGTTTAAGTCTTTATTCAAAAGGACTAATTGCCACAGGCGAACAAGATCAAGAACAGGGGCCCTGGTTCACGGCAAGCAGCCTTGGCGGCACAGTTGCAGCAAAACGACGTCTGTTTCATGAGGAAATCAAGAACTAAACAAAACCCAAACCCTAAGGAGAGTGACGGCTGCTAATTATAGAGCCCCGGACGTCACCCCCTGGACGCGCCCCCTAATGGGTCCAAACACGATACACGGTCCAACGGACCAAAAGACGGTGTCGCAGCACCCTGGTAGATTCTGGACGCTGACTTATTTCGATGATTCTCGTTGATTCTGAATGGCTTTTGATGTGAGACCACTTGCATTGGCTTCCTTATCTAATTAGCTTTCCATCCATATGTGGATCGTCGAAAATGGAGCCTGGACGCACCCGTGTGACCAGTTTTATGACATACTGGTCCTGGAACCCGAGATGGGCTCGAACTTGATTTGGGCCTCCGCCTTGGTGACTCGAACCGGATGAGCTTCGGGCCTCCTTCTCGGTTAGGACACCCTCGTTGATCTCCTCGTCTCTATCTCCAAGCATGGTCATATGCATGGAGCTCATATTCTTATCACCTCAAGTGTCGGAGGAGTAGAATGAAGTATTGGTGGCTCCATTCAGCGAGGAGGAGGTCAAAATGGCAGTCTTCGATATGGAACATAACAAGGCACTGCCGGATGGCTTTCCTATAGAATTTTACCAATTCTTTTGGGATGTTGTCAAGCAAGATTTGATGAGCCTCTTTTATGAATTCCATGCGGGAGACTGCCCATTCATAGTTTAAACTTTGGGGTAATTACACTATTACCCAAGATCACTGACGTGATCTAGATACAACAATATAGGCCTATTTGTCTCTTAAATGTGTCTTTTAAGATTTTTACAAAGGTGCTAAACAATAGAATTTTGAAAGTGACAGATAAACTGATAGGTCTGTCTTAGACAGCCTTCATTCCGGGATGCTATATAATGGAAGGAGTTGTTATACTACATGAAACAATACATGAGTTGCATAGGAAAACACAAGATGGAGTGATCTTAAAACTAGACTTTAAAAAAAGCGTATGATAAACTAAAGTGACCTTTTATACAATAAGTCCTCAAAATGAAAGGATTCTCACCAGTTTGGTGTGAATGGATTTCAAAAGTCATGACTAGAGGGAGTGTTGCAGTAAAGATCAATGATAATTTAGGCCATTACTTCCAAACAAGAAAAGGAGTGCGCCAAGGGGATCCGCTATCTCCAATCTTGTTTAATATAGTGGTTGACATGCTGGTAATTCTTATTTCACGAGCAAAAGAGGCCGAACAAATCCAAGGAGTGGTTCCGCATTTGGTAGATGAAGGACTCTCAGTCCTTCAGTACGCGGATGACACTATTATCTTTATGGACAATGATCTAGAGAGGGCCAAAAATATGAAGCTCCTGCTTTGTGCTTTTGAACAACTATCAGGACTCAAGATTAATTTCCATAAGAGTGAATTGTTTTGTTATGGAGCAGCCAAAAATAATCAAAATGAATATGCACAAATTTTTGGGTGTAATGTAGGATCATTCCCCTTTAGATACATAGGAATTCCTATGCACCATAGAAAGCTCATGAATAAGGACTGGAAACATGTTAAAGAAATATTTCAAAAGAGATTGAGCGGTTGGAGGAGTAAGATGCTGTCGGTAGGAGGGAGGCTTGTTCTCATTAACTCGGTTCTAAGTAGTCTTCCCATATTCATGATGTCTTTTTTTGAAATACCTAGAGGGGTTTTCAAGAAGTTGGATTATTTTAGATCTCGATTTTTTTGGCAGAGTGATGAACACAAGAAAAAATATAGACTGACAAAGTGGAGGTAGTATGTACACCTAAAGACCAAGGAGGATTGGGAGTCCTAAATCTAGATGTTCATAATAAGTGCCTCCTAAGCAAGTGGCTTTTCAAATTGTTAAATGGAGATGGGGTTTGGCAACAATTGCTTAAGAATAAATATTTAAGGGATAAAACTTTGACACAGGTTCAATACATGTCCGGGGACTCTCAGTTTTGGACTGGCCTCATGAAGGTCAAGGATAAGTTCCTTTCGATGGGTAGGTTTGATCTAGGTGACGGGTCCCAGGTGCGTTTTGGGAGGATTCATGAATAACGCCACGCCCATTGAAAACGCTCTTCCCGACACTATACAACATTGTGAGAAAGAAAAGTGCGTCTGTTAGGGTCACTATACTGTGTACGACGCTATTAAATGTAGCTTTTAGGAGATCTCTGATGGGGGTTAATTTGCACGCGTGGCACAATGTGGTGGCCATGGTTGCAGATGTACATCTAAGAAACCAGAGAGATCGCTTTGTGTGGGGGCTGCTTCAAAATGGGTTGTTCTCAGTCAATTCCATATACAGAGTTTTGTTAGGTGTACAGGCTTTACCATATAACACTTTAATTTAGAAACTTAAACTACCTCTCAAAATTAAAGGGTGTAATTTTAACGAAAGATAATTTAGTTAGGCGGCGGTGGCAAGGAGATATGAAGTGTTGTTTTTGTTCCTCCAACGAGTCCATACAACATCTATTCTTTGACTATCATTATGCTAAATTCTTGTGGAGAATTGTTCATGTTTCTTTTAACCTAAAACCGTCAAATAGTGTACACAATTTGTTTACAAGTTGGTTGGAAGGGTTAAACAGGAAAATAAAATCTCAAATTCTTGTGGGTGCAAGTGCTATTTGCTAGGCGCTTTGGTTAACCCGGAATGGTATTGTGTTTGACAAGGCCCTAGCACCATCTTATTTGCAGGTTATTCTCAAGGGGACTTATTGGACCAGGTATTGGTCCCTACTTCAGAAGGAGGAGGATCGCCATACGATGAAGGGATTGTAGAACTATTGAGACAGCCGCGATAAGTTCAAGCGAACAGGGCCATCAGCTTATTGAAATCTCTATGCAGCATCACTTGATTACCAAAGATGCTTGCAAGTTATTACAAATAAAAGACACAAGGTTAAAAAGGCATGACATAACAATAATAGAGAGTGTGTTCATGACTCATGTGAAAAGGGAAAATAAATACCAGACTCAAGGTATAGTTTCAGGTTATTACTAATCTGCAGTGCTGTTATTACTAGACAGTTGAGAATCAGCAGGAGTGACTCCATCCTGCTGAGATAAAACAGCTTGCCAGCACAGATTAATACCGTTGTTTCTCAATGTGACTCAGAATTATCATCACGAAGCACCGCCACAGTTGACAAGCCATCGAACAATGGTTTTTCATCCACACAACCAGCATTACCGTCCATCGAGAAGAAGTCATGGTGGACAAGACTTTCTTTGAACCTATGCCTGCTAAGCTTCAGATAAACGCTCCATTCATACTGGGCCAGCAAACTGCCATTGGCACCAGAAATGTGCTGCACATGTTTCCACAGGTTGCCTGATCCCACACTTTGAGAAAGGACGAGCACATCGAGCACATCTCCTTCTGGGTCCAGCACTGGTAGCAGAGAATAAACCAACCCCGGCAATTTGATCCGGTGGTTCATAGACCAGGACCAGCTCCCGTGATCCTGTAGCACCCAGAGATCAGCCGTGCCACCGCCGTAGTGGTACAATCCAAGGGCGCCACTGTTCATCTGAAACAGCAGTTGCTGGAAGGACTCGGCCATGGTGTCGAACGCGACCATGTTGTTGACCTTGCCGTTGCCGTCGGGCAGCATTACCGGCTGCCAGTAGATCTTGCCGTCTGCCACGACGTGCGGGTGAAAGTACACCATCATCGGCATCGCATCGCCATTACCATATCCCCGGACGCCCACGGCGCGGGAGGCTCTCCGACGCACCTGAGCTCGCGGGACCCAACGGTGTGCACGTGGTACACGGCGCGGCCGTCCTCGGCTCTCTCCAAGCAGCACAGCACCCGGTACGACCCGAACGGGCGGTGAGGGTAGAGAGCGGAGATGCAGGAGGCGCCGTGGAGCAGCGTAAGGGGCGCGCGCTGGCGGGTCGCCGGGTTGCAGATCTGGAGGCCGCCGTTGGCGAGGAGGATGAGGAGGCCGTCGCAGGAAGCGAGCACGTTGAGGTCGCCCGCGTTGGCGGCGGTCCAGCCCGTCGTCCGCGCGACGGGGCGCCGCTCGCCGGTGCGGTGATCCAGGGCGTCGATCCTCCTCTCCTCGGTGGTCCTGTCCCCTTTGGTGAGGAGCGGGAGCGAGGGCTGGCGGCGGTGGTGGGCGAGGAGGAATTTGGCGTCTGAGGTGAGGCGGCGGCGCCAGGAACGGCAGACGGCGCGGCACCGGAGGAGGGTCTTCGCCGGCACACGAATCAGGATCTCCCAGACAACGAGATCCTCGGGGAGCAGGGGGCCGCCGCCGGCCGCTGCTGCCATGATAATGGCCGTGATTGATCTTGGAGAAATCAGAATTTTTTTTTTAGCAAAACTTGGAGAAATCAGAAATGGATAGGTACTCCAGAAGGATCCCCTTTGGCTATACTAGGGTTCTCTTGTTGGGTTGGGCTATTTTTCATGGGCCGAATGACACAACATGTTGGCTGTGTGCTACAATGTCGGATACCCACGGGTACCCACGGGCGAAGTTGCTTACCCGACCCGACCCGCACATTTGAGGGTACCCGACCCAATCTTACCCGTGGGTGAAATTTCTTACTCATGCCGGCCTCCACTCAGGGCTCCTTTGGATTCAACCATTCCCTAGTGGATTGGAGGGATTGAGGGGTAGGTTGATCCAAAGGAGCCCTCATAAGGTACGAAACATGCGTGTATTCATGCCCGCGGGTCAAACTGTCATACGCGTTCTAGTATAGGGGTAAAGCAATAAGAACTGAAAATTCCAAATTTTAGATTTATCACTAAAACAGTTAGGTAGCCTAATGTGCCATTATTTTATTTTTTATCTATCCCACAACATATAAATGATACGGTTATTTTGTATGAACCATGATATTGATTAGCAAAAAACATAAAAATTATTGTTATTTATTTTGAACAATATCCAATGCACTTTAGAAAACTATTGTCTCAGTCCTAAAGATAAAATGGCATGGGTAGGTTAAACTATTTTAAGTTTGAGTAGATTTGTATAAAACATTAGCAACATTTGTATATCTAAATATATTTATTATGAAAATATATTTAATGGTTAATCTAATTATACTAATTACACATCATTAATATCAATAACCTAGTGTATATTTTGTTAAAGTTAAAAATATTTGACTTTTTAAGAAATGAGAATGACACTTTCTGTGGGAAAAATGAAGTATGTATAATATGGATCGGAAAAGTATTGAAGAGAGAATCTAGAAACCTTTAAGTAGTCGAAAACAAGTACTTTTTGTGCAAGTAGGTTGGTGCTAATAAACTCAGTTCTCGCAAATTTGCCTACGTTCATGTCTATTTTTTTATTGCCCAAGAAAAGTATTTAGGAAGGTTGACATCTTACATCAAAATTTTTCTTATAGAATGGTCAATATAAAAATATATATATATAATGAAGCGGGATACTTTGCTAACCGAAAGAGCGAAGAGGCACATAATTCAAGACTTAGACATAGTCCCTCCGTGACTTTGACAAAGTTTACGAAAGACCAACATCTATAATATAAAATAGTTTAATTAAATTTTCTGTAAATATGTTTTAACGGTGTATTTATTTGAACTTGTAAATGCTACTATATTTTTCTAAAAACTTTGTCATCTAGAGATATTGGACTCGAGAAAAAGGTCAAAGTGAACTATAGTTAAGATAAAGAGAGTACAAAATAAGTGCATGTTGAGTAATCCCTCCGTCCCAAAATAGTCGATGTTTTTTATAGCATTCAGATTACTTGACCACATTCTTTCTTTCTAATGCACCCTTCTCTTTTCCCAATACATCACTATCTCTATCTCTCTCCTTCTCATAAGAGATATTTTGATTGTTAGCTATAACATTGGTATCTCTGCACAATCACATAACGTCCATTATTTTGTAACATATGGAGCAAGTGGCTAATTAAGCCACAGTACACAATACCGAGAGAGTTTGGCAAGACTTATTTCAAATCAAATATGTTCGAAACCTCATACTAATAAGTGGTTAAAAAGTTGTTGACACACACTTTTAGTCGAGTCATGTGGTTAACTGATTAATGGCCTAATTCATAAGTATCTCGAGGTTTAAGCTTTTAAGTGGAAACCAAAATAGATTTTGGAGGTATATGATTATGAATCCATGCTTTGAAATTCCAGTACCATGCTTTGTTTTTTGTTGTTGAATGGAAATACAACAAGAACTGGTTGCAAAAAAAGTAAGTGACACATCCTTGTTGCAAGGGTTGCTAATATAAACTTGGCAGAGAAAAAGGCTATATATATGCAAGAAATTTGGCATATGAATAAACCTCTAAAAATAATAGAAATATTTGCGCAGTCACAGAACAGACGGTACCATTGCATGAGTCAAGTAGTGACTAATAGATGCCGTGATTTTTTTTTTTTGACAAAGGAGATAGGGAGTGGACAGCGCCCGCGAGTCTAGAGAGATGCCACGTCTGGACGCCCACACCTGCTACCCGCCCCAAAAGATAACATCAAACACGTCTGGTGCACTGAGACACACATATAACAATAACGCGCGCGGGGTCCAAAACTGTCAGACACAACATTGACCGACACGGCACGACACCCATGCGACTCGACTGGACTCGAAACACTCATGTATGCATGCACCTCTTTCCCCAGCCCACCCGCACGATGCTAATGTGCCCTGCCTTATGCTACTGCTGTCACGCCTGCCTTTCTGCTGCTGTGGCACACAAGCGCCTACTACTACGGTACGCATGCGGCTGCTGCTGCACATGTACGTGGGGGGGCCGTCGTGCTCACTTTGCTTCCCGCACACATGCGGGGACCGCTGTGCCTGAGGGGACCACTTGCTCCGCCTGTGCCCACTCCCCGCGCCTGCTCGTGGAACACTTGGAACATGTAGTATTTGCTGCAACATACGTCAGAAAACAGATGAAACATTTAAAACATACGCTTGCAACATATGTGTATGGGCACTGCAACATATGCAATATCCAGATAAAACACTTGCAACATACGTTTGATACAGCTAAAACATTTGAAAACATACACTTTATAGCATACGTGTATGGCCACCGCAACATGTGCAACATTCAGATAAAAATACTTGCAACATACGTTTGGAACAACTGAATCATTTGAAAAAATACAATTTGCAGCGTATGTGTATAGCTAGTGCAACATATGCAACATCCAGATAAAATAACTTGCAAACATACATTTAAAAGCAGCTGAAATATTTAAAACATACACTTACAACATACGTATATAGACATTACAACATATAGAACACAAGATCTACTTTTGCAACATCCAAATAAAACATAAGCAACATACATCTGAAACGCATAAGACATACGGTTGTAACGTGTGCTTGGCTACTTGCTGTCGCCTAATGGAGGCTCGTTGACGCGGAGCTGGGGAGCTCGACGCCGGTGCGGAGGTCGCCCACAGTGGCTGTGCGCAGCGCGAGCCGGCGGGGAGGCGCGAGGCGCGAGGTTCGAGAAGTGGGTGGCGCGAGGCACGAGACGCGGGTGGGACGTGCGAGGCACGAGGTGCAACGGCGTGAGGCACGGGAACATGCGGGTCTGTCCCGTTCGGCCAGACGAACGCTCGGTAGAGAGGTTGGAGATAATATGTTATCGATGGTTTTGACCCAAATTAAGCGTTAAATAAGTGGACTCACGGGCCAGTCAAACGGTAAATTCCGATTTGTATCAGAAAAGTTTCTAGACCTGTATTCTACTACAACTAAAAAGAACAAAGCGTGGACATCTTTTGGTGCGACATTTGTTTTGGTTCGTCCGTCTGCCCACCCCGTGCGATACCCCGCGCGATAGAAAAAGAAACTGTCATCCATGCGATCCCCGCCTGCTTTGAAGGAAACCAATCGATCACCTGAGCCTACATGCATGGAAGGAAACAATAATCATGTATGGAAGGAAACAATCATGTATGGAAGAAAACAATAATCGTGCATGGAAAGAAACAATAATCATGCATGGAAGAAAACAATAATCATGTATGGAATCATGCATGGAAGGAAACAATAATCATGCATGGAAGGAAACAATAACCATTTACTCTTTTTTCAAATAGTGGTCTTCATTTCGGAGCCCTTCATGCAGTTTAATAATGGCTGGGGAGCTAGGCTTGCGAGAACTTACTCTTAATTGGGTTGCGAGCTAGAGATGTAGCACTTCAATGTGTGTCTTGGTTGAGTTCTACAATTGCCAAAAATTAATGGTGCTGATAAGATTGGCAATCCTGTAACTCTGCAGTACCTTTCTTTTTTTCAAAAAAAGGAGGGAAAATGCTACTTATGGTCGAATCCATATTCTTTTTGTTGTTTTGATTTGATGCCCACAACCCACATGTTAACTTTTAGATGTGTTTGTAAAGAATCAAAAGGAGTTGGCCTAATGCCAATCTTTCTTGTCGTCTTTTTCATTCTTTATATTTATACTAGATAGCGTGTTCGTGCGTTGTTACCGGATAACTAATAATTTATACTAAAAACACACGGATCGCACGATAAGATAACAATACTATAAAAATTAAATACCAACGTTAAAGTAACATTTAATCAAAAAGCAAAGTTTATGAATTTAACACGGTCACGGAGTGCGCGGCGTCGCAGGCTCACAAACTCTACTTTATAGACATTTTCATGATGCGGCTAAGATAATATTTTATATTGGCAGAAAGAAATCTCTGGTATCCATTTCTTTCATTGTAATCTATTTATCTGGACAATGTTTGAGGTGAGGGCATGGTTACAGTTTTTAGTAGCTTTGCGATATTGTCCGAAGCTATGAGATGATTGATGTCTTGCAATGATCCTTTCATTAATTTAGTTTTCTATCTATGTTTAATTGTTTATTCATTCTATTTTATAGGCACGTCGGTAAATAATGGATGATAAAATTCAAACATTCATAATTTATCTCTTTGACTTTGAGAATAAGTTTTGTTTTTATTTTTTAATTGATATATTGTCCTTTTGTTTTTACCGTAGCGTTAGCGCATGCATGCATGAAAAACGAAGATATCTTTACACTACAGAAATCTTTCAAGAAATTCATGCATAGATTATTCTTGTATTGAATATTATATATACAATCACCTAAATATTTTAATTAAATTATAAAATTTTGAATTAGGATACGAGGTAAGACATGCAAACAGATATTTCAAAACTACCTGTAGAGTCCAAAGAACTTAATAAATAAATCCTTCTGAAACCATGCAAATTATCTCTAATCTTTCATTTGGTGTAGTTAGTGTTATCATAGTACCCGCATGTATTCATGAGAAATAAATCATGGATAAAATATGGACACTTTTTTGTGCGACATTCCATTATGGGTCCATCGTCCTACGCCAATTTCCTTAAGGCAGATCACATAAAGAATGAGATTGCTCACAAGAGACTCAAACTTATATCTAATCATGGTAATGTTGAATTGCTTTGCATCAAAAGCATCGGCAATAATAAACGAGGACATAGGTTTTAGTATGCATAGTGAAGAAAAATTCAACATTGGCCTTCTCAGCAGCTTTTCTGAGCCTTTGTAGTGCTAACTTGTCCTTACTCAGATAGTCAAGAGGTGCACCATAAAATTATGTACCACTAAGAAAAGTGTCACCATTGGTTGCCTTGACCTGAAAAATGTGTCGAAATTAAGAATTACAACACCTAATTCAACATCTTGGAACAGACACTCAAGTGGATACCTTATTCTATAATATATATCTGTGTGGAATAGTCCTAAAACCACACATATTTATACGGTGAGTATAAGATACTTTGTTTTAAAATTTTATGAGAGATTTTTTAAGACACGCAGTATTATCCATGTGACAAGCACTAATATTTACATATATAGTCGAACCTGTGTGTACAGGATTATATGGAGATGCAGCGGAACTTATTCATTGATTTATTGACGCATGAAAGAAATGGATATCGGAGAATTCTTTCTACCGATATAAAATATTATCTTAGCCATATCACGAAAAAATCTATACAGTAGAGTTTGTGAGCCTACGACGCCGCACTCTCTGTGACTGTGTTAATTTCACGAACTTTGCTTTTTGAATTAAATGTCACTTTAACGTCGGTATTTAATTTAACAGTATTGTTATCTTATCGTGCGATTCATGCGTTTTTAGTACAAAACATTTAGTTGTCCCGTAGCAACACACAAACACGCTACCTAGTTTACAAATATGTTTGGAGCAATTACTGGCCTTCCAAAAAGATACTAAAAATAAAACAAAACGTCTCTATAAAATCCGCAAAAGTAATAAATAGAGGAAAACCTCGCAAAAACCCCACCCCGTCCCTCCCCTTCCCGTTCCCTCCCCTTCCCTTCCGGCAACCGGCGAACCCATCCTTCCGGCGGCGGCGAAGATGATCATCCCGGTGCGCTGCTTCACATGTGGCAAGGTATCGCAGCTTCCCCCTCCCCTTTCTCTCCTACCTTCCCCCCTCCGATCCGTGCCTAGGCGCGCCTGCGGGTTCTCTGCTCCGTGCGCCAGGGTTTAGTTGCGTCGTCTTCTCAATTTTGGGTCATAATCCATCTAATTTGTGGCTCAGGTGATCGGGGACAAATGGGATGCGTACCTCGAACTCGTCCAGGCGGACTATGACGAGAGGTAGGTTGAGTTTTCCCAACCAGTGGCTACCGCCTCTAATCTAAGAATCTATATCCGTATGATGTGACCTTTCTTCGTTGGATCACATCTATGTGTGTTCGGGAGTGGGAATGCGTTTGGAGATAATTAGGTTTTGTTGGTGTTTGTGGATGTAGACTGTAGAGCCTTATGTTGGCTCTCGCTTTTTTTTATATGTTCAAATCCTTGTGGGATGGATTCAGTTAGTTTGTTAATTAACAAGACTCTGACAATACTCACCAGGCACGCAGGATTGGTTGGGGGGTGTGCAATGTGTGCCATAGCTTTGGTGATCTACTAGGTCTGTTGTGCAGTATGGTGAATTTACATGAACCACATATCCAGCTTGAGTTCTGTGGTGATTCCTGTGGAAGTGTGGACTAATTAGAGTAATATTGTATTTCTGAAGTGCCTTTTATCGAGGAATCTGATGCTTGTATATGATAGGAACGTCACAGATAACCTGATTCTGTAGCTTTTGGTGGTCTACACATGTTTGACCCGACTCTGTCTGGCATGTTTGGGCCCGTTCGGCTGGAGGAATTCTAGATGAATTTGGATGAAAACACTGTTTCGGATGAAACGTTGTGAGAGAAAAACACTGTTCTGTATGGTGTTCTTAAGTAGATTTGAATGTTGTTAGGAATTAGGATCATCCAAATCTATTTCTGGCTTCAAAGCAAGGTAAAAGCAAATAAATCCTTGCAGTCAGCTGCAGTAATTCAACACAGATTCCCAGAGGTGCCTGTGCACAATCTTTGGGTGTGAACATACTTCTACTTTTCACATTTTTCAAATAATGAGAAGATGCACACTTAAGAAGGCAAATAAAAGAAGATGAAGCTGCTGTTGCAATTGTTGAGGTGTGGTAGCTCTTCCCATGCAATATCCCTAGGAAACCATGCTTCACAGATACCAAATAGAGTTAAACAAGTTAGGTAAAAAGGTAATTATCAGGGTCTACTGATGACTAGAGAGCACACAAAATCATCAGGATGTGACTAGAATATGGCTCTATGGATTCAGGAGTTTTTCCCATTAGAATTTTGATTTTGATACATGTGACTCAGAAACTGGCAATGCTTCAATTTATGAATTTTTGAAGTTTTATATAGCAGTTAAGCCTATACTATGATAAAACTTGTGGGGCCTGCATTTGCTTGAGATTGGATCATTTTTTTAACCATTCCAGAACATGGACTTATATTTGCAGTTTGTTTCTTTTGGCAAAGCCCCCTGAACCTTTTGTCAACAGTATGTTTGCACTATAGGAGGCTATGATCTTTTCTAACAAGAACAGTCATTTCTCTGTATCGCAGCCAAATCTCCTTTTCAGGCATAAGGTTGAGTTTGGTGCCATTTAGCATTAATTTAGCTTAAAAATTTACTTCCACAATTAACTTTCACGTCACATGCAGCATTATTAAGTTGTCCCGCTAATCATGATTGGTCAAGCACTCTGGGACGACTGGTGCAGTCAGAAATCTTATTGTCCAATTAACTTGTGATTAATCATGATTAGTTGTCCGATTAGCTCAAGGATGACAAGCCTGGAGAGAGAGAGAGAGAGTTGTTAGATGCTCATCTGGGCCTGGGGGCACTTGGCCTTTTGTTTTTGGCCCAGAAGTATATGACCATGCTTGATGCTTGCTTTGTTTACCAATTTATGATTATGACAATGTCTTTGTGCAGTGTGCAGTGTGCAGTGTGCAGTTGTGCTCTGGTGTAAATTTGTATCAGTACTTAATTACTTGATGCTTAACTTAATAACTTAATACTTACAGTTAAATTGTATACATCCTGGGTAGTAGGGCAAGTAGGCCAGACAATTATACTGCTCCCTAGCCAACTAGCCACCAAATCAGATCTGATCAGCTGATTGGTACCCGTACAACTAGGCTCGATGAGGTGATCTGAAATGATTGACGATGGGTGTGCTAAGAATCATTTAACAAAAAGCTTCATATATTTTTTCTATGCAATTCCTTTTTATTGAAATGATTGCAGATTGTCTTCAATTGAATCAGCTGGTACGAATCCTCATATGGGGTCACCTGTGGTAGTTTAGTTTATATATATTGAATAAAAGAACTTGCTGAATGTGGCCTTCCACGGTACAATCTTTCGGATTTATGGAGAGCTGGGAGGGTTATACAAGTTTAGCAGACTTTCAAACTTCCGATCACATAAATATGAAAATGTTTAGCTAATCTGGACACTTCTACCAAATCCCAATTAAGCAATGTTTTCCCTGTACATCTATTTGCAGGGTAGCTCTGACTGCCTTGAAGTTAAACCGTTACTGCTGTAGGCGAATGCTGATGACCCATGTCGACCTCATTGAGAAGCTCCTCAACTACAACAGTAAGTCGAACTGTTCAGTTCTGTTGCGTGCAGTCTTCACTAAGATTTGTTTTATCTTTTCCCCAGCATGTCACTAACACTCATTCGTCGACAGCGCTGGAGAAGACGCCTGACACTGACAGTTAAGCGAACCTGGCAAGCTCGACTGCTAGTCCGTCGCACCTAGTACCCTTCATCGAAGTGTTATCCTGTGTTTCCTATATGTCTGGACAAACTTGGTCCTGTTCTGTGTTTCTCCTAGTCTAAGAGTTTACTTGGAAGGACTAGGTAACTTCTGAGTCCAACCAGGGATTTGCCATTCTTCTATGTGACCGGTTCTGAACAACTTAATACAGCAAGTCTGCAAGAATCATGGGCGTAGTAATTGGCATGCATCTGCTCTGTTAATTGTTACCCTTAGTGTCAATTCTCCATATGCTCTGTTCTCTAGGGGTATTGTTTCTGTTCCTGCAGGCTGCAGTCACCGATTTGCGTAACTGGAGAGCTTCATGCTCCGTATGCGCCTGCTCTATTGTGAATTTGCCTTCGATTTACCTGTCCTTTCCACGTTTGGAGAGACTCGCATAAATCACTTGTCCTTGCACCGTCGCGAGAGGCCTGTGACTGTGACTTGACCATTAGATTAGATAGATAGATTATTATCCATGTGCAAGTGTAACGATTATTCTGATCGTTCCTGTCCACAGCTGAACGGCCATGGCTCGATGTCGGTTTGCTCATGTTGTCATGCACGCGCGATAGTACTTTTCAAGATCCCTTTCAGTGTCTCTGGGGTTTTGTCCATGTGCGTGCTCCATGTGATGTAACATGCCCCAACTTGGCTGTTGGCTCTTATGATATGATGATGAACCTTAGCTTTCGTTTTCTTGATCTTTTCAACGAATCTGTTCGACCGACCTGCTCAGATCGCTCGCTGTCCTGCTGCAGTTGACAATTACCGGTGAAACCAACAGTGGGTGTATAATTCTTGGGCATGCATCGTCATGGTCTGCAGCTTATATATTAATATAATGGTTTATTGTATTGTATTTGTGATGGAATCATCAAACAGGTATACATTCTGCAGATTCTGTCTTCATTTTGTCATCTTCGAGCAATTTCATGAATTTTCACAACAGAAATAAAACTACTCATGAAAATTTAAGGCACTGTATGTAGCTGAACATGATCAGTCAAAACTTTGGCAGAATTCACTTTTCACAGCAGGCACAAAAACAATCTATTTTTCCTTGATAAACCATAGTCTTGAACAAGGACACTGTACAGAATAAAGATGTGATTTGGGTGTGGAAAGAAACCCACAGTTTCATTCATATGATTCCTACTTTATTTGTCATCCCTTTGGATGAGACTACCTGGGTGTGTGATAAATCTCTTCAGACAGTAAAACAACAGGGTGCCTCTTCAGAGAGGAAGAGACCCCCCCAAAAGAAAAGAAAAGAAAAGTTCAAAGGATATTCCTGGTGGAGGGCATTGCATGTGCCAACTCTCATCCAAGGCACAAAATTGGAACTTAAATTAGAAGAAGAAAAAAAAGGATCTATACACTAACAAGGAGTAACTCTGCCATGGATCGGTCAGTCGAAGCTCGACGACCGGCTCCATCTTCCCTTCAGATACTCTTCCAAGGAGGTGTTAGCTGCAATGAAGTCGTTGCTGCTGACAGAGGCGGAGTCGTCGTCAACATCGAACGCGAGGTTGATGTATGACTGGATGTTAGCGTTGCTCCTCGGCGCTGGCGGTGTCATCACAAATTCATCGCTGTCGCTGTTCTCGTATGACAACCCGACTTGTGATCTTGCCCACTTGAGGATATCATTGTCCCCTTCGAGAAGCTTCAGAACCTGGTGTGTACATTCAGATGCTTGTAAGAAAATTATAAACAGCATGAACACTCACGCAAAACAAGCATCAAGAAGGGGGGATACTTACAGCATCAGTTTCAGGACGGCTCTGAGGTGCTTGTCTGATGCAGAGGGATGCAGCAAGGGTCATCCTCTCAACTTCATCGGTATGGCCTTCAGTGGGCAAGTTTGGATCTACAAGTTGTGTGAGCTTTCCTTCTTGTATGATGGAATTTGCCTGCACAAAAGAAACAGCAATTAATTATCTGTTCCAACCAAAGGAAAGTAACCATTACTTCTAAAGCATACACATCAATTTTGAAATAAAATGCCACTTACCCACATCACTAGGCTCTCCTGCCCTTTTGGACAACCAGTGCAAAGCGGTTTCCTGCCAGAGATGAGCTCCAGAAGGACAACGCCAAAAGCATACACATCAATTTTGTTGTTCACCTTGCCATGCATGAAGTATTCAGGAGCTAAGTATCTGTCAAGACATCTCTATGTCAGTAAGGCAATTGCTACACATGGAAAAACTGTGAAACAATTGTTAATAAGACAACTAACCCGAAAGTTCCTGCAACATCATTGCATGTCATCTGAGATGTCACATCAGCAGCCCAGACTGCGAGACCAAAGTCCGATAACTGCATCATCACACACACATTGAAAAAAGTTTGAGTTCGCTTAATTTTGATACTGCACACTAACTGATGTATTCTGTGCTATCAGACAGAAATATTACCTTTGGTTCAAAGCATTCTGAGATGAGAATATTTGATGACTTGACATCCCTATGGATCACTGGACGACTGTTGTTATCACTATGGAGATACTCCAGAGCATGAGCAACTCCCACAGCCACGCTGAACCTCTCAGTCCAACCAAATATGCTCTTGCATTCTTTTTCACCTGCACAATAACAACGTTAGGATCACTTTACATGGCAACATCATAGGCAAAAAGCTAGCAGGTCGTGAAACAGCTAAACACACCATGAAGTATCTCTTCCAGGCTGCCTCGTTGCAAGTACTCGTACACTAACAGAAGATCATCATTCTTGAAGCAGAAACCAACAAGGGATATCACATTCTTGTGGCTGAGAGAACTGACAATCTCAATCTCTGACACAAACTCCTTCAGTACCTCTTCAGAATACTTCAGGATCTTCACTGCTAGCTCCCTGCCATTTGCCAAACAGCCTCTGTACACTTGACTAGTGCCTCCTTGTCCAACTACACACTCTGCACAAGCAACCAATCTGACAGGTTAACACTATATTATGCCTACAAAAGTTTGAAGTGACCTCTGCACATGTAGAAGTAGGTGTTATAACAGAGAAAAAACAGATATGCATACCTGGCGAGAAATCAGAGGTGATCTTTGCAAGCTCACAGTAACTGAATGAAGAATAAATGGATGAGAATTTCTTTTTGAGCAAGGTCAGTTCCTCTGGAGTTTCCTTCTCCAATTCTTCGATCACTACACAGGACTTTCCTGAATTGCTCCTCGAGGGAACAATCACACGGTCACAGAGGATACGACTGGCGCTCGTGGAGTCCAGTCTTGTGGTTCTGTATTCTGAATGGACTGGTGATACAGCTGAATACCTGCCTGGGAGCCGCATTGCCCACTGCACCACAGACATCTTCGACTTGTCAGGCGCGGAAGCTTTCCGGTCTGGCAAGAACTTCTTCCTCAGTAGGGGCCAGCCAGTTGCTACTTCTGGCGATTCGTGCCGGCAACCCTTCACCGGGACTAATGCTAGTGAAACTTCTTTTGGCCGTGCGGGAGATCTCATTGGCATGGTGATGGCACGAGACATGCACCTTCTGTCCTTTCCATTCTCATCCCAGAGTTTGTCCCCTATCATGGTCGACAAGAGCTTCCGGTAGCTCCTCCTTGGTGTCTCAGGTACTGCATTTCAAAATCCACACTTGAGCATACTGGATTCATAGCAGCTCTGAAACCACAGAATGAACAAATGCAAATGAAATTATTGAGCCGACATACTTGCGCTAGTGCTTTGGTAGAGTTCATGTTGCACCCCGTGTCCAGCATCTTTATGGTAAACGACTTTGCCATTGTTCACTGCAAGGACCGAGCAGCTGGCTGGAACTCTCTTTGAGCAGTACTTGGCAACTGATGTGAAGGAGGATCTACATGGTTTGAGGGGGGGGAGAGACAGTACTTGTATGTATCAGAATCTAATGTATTTGGACAAAGATGGCAATACTTAGTAAGGCAATGTATCAAATTATGTACCCGAATGACCGGGAATTGTTTGCAACGCCAAGGATGAGATGTGCTGCGCTACAAACAGCCGCTTCTTTGACCAGAGTTTTCCGGATTGATGATCCTCCACAGACCTTGAGCTCCAAATTAATCTGCGAGTGTAAATTGAAGATCAAATTTATGAGAATTCTGAGGCAGCCTTTAATAAAAAAAATGCAAAGTTTGCAGGCAAACTGTCTTGCCAAAATAAAAATAAATAAAGAAATCTGCAGTTCAATTGTAGTAGGAAAAATGAGCAGATCGGTGGTTGCCAAAAAAAAAAAGAAATCAAGGTGCCCGAAACTTGAAGGCGTTGGAGGAAAAAAGAAAAGAGAAAAACATGACCATCCAGTAAGAAAGTGGCGGCAGCACGAGTGATACGGCAGAGAGGTTGGAGACTTTGAAACGAACGAGGAATTTGACGGGCTGCTGGACTGGACCAGAATTTCACGCACGGAGAGCATCTTTGAAAGCGAAATCCAGGAGAAAAGGTCAGAGCTTTGAACGGCCAGTAGCATCGAACGAAACCCAGAGCCAGATGAACGGCTAGCGAAAAAACAGAGCGAATAAAACTTGTAATCAAACGGTAAGATTTGGGAGGGAGGGAGGGACGGACGGACCTGCTTGAGGTTGCAGAAGCCGTCGTAGACGGCGAGCACGGAGGCGAGCGAGTCTGCGGCGGCCCTGCTCCGCTCATCCAGTCCCACGAGCAATCCTGGAAACGACGAGAGAGAGAGAGAGAGGTAAATAGGGTGGGGGATTAATTTCACCTCGTGAGAATCGTCAAATGGGGAACGAAACGGGGTTCCCAAGTTTGCATGTGGAGCGAATCGAAGTACTAATAAACGAATGAACGGGACGGAGCTTAGCAATCCATCCATCCACAGAAGCAAGCAAATCCCAACCCCAGCAGCAGAAACGCTCCACGGCTCCAGGGATGGATGGATTAACGCTTCCCAAACAAAACGGCTGGCTCAGGAGGAGGAGGAGGAGGAGGGGCCGGCGGGGGAGCGGGCGGGCGGTACCGTCGGCGGCGGTGGCGACGTGGAGGGCGACGACGCGGTCCCCGGCATTGGCGACCTTGACGAGCGCCCAGGTGAGCAGCTCGCGGCTGGCGGCGTCGCGCCTGATCCCCACCACGACCGTCCTGGACGGGGACGGCGACGGGGACGCCGGCGCGGGCGACGGGGGCGCCTCGCACTGGAGCAGCCGCTGGCGGCGCGCGCCGTCGGGGACGAGCAGCCTCATGGCGCCGTGCCGCTGCCGCTGCCGCCGGCGTCGGTCGGTCGATGCCTCCGAGGCCCGGGCTCGGCGCTCGCTCGCTCCTTGGTGGCGACACAGATGAGGAGAGGGGAGGA